ATTGGTTTCCATATATGTAATCATTATTTTAGCAATGAATTATCTGGAACCCAATTTTAYGTTTATATTTATTCACATATGCTGAATAAATATTTAAGATAATTCCATATCCGATTGAGCTATCAATAAAAAAATTGATATTTATAATTTCTTGCTCTATAAAACCAGTTCAGATAAGACTGCAAATATAATGTTTAATAATATTTATACTATTTATTTCATAGCTTCCCTCGTGAGTCCTTCATGACACCCCATTTACTGGCATGCTTACAGGGTATACAGTAGATTGCCAGTTGGTCATGTTATGAAGGCGGCTGGCTGCGCGTGGTTGTCCTGGCAACTTAATGTGTAACTTATTACATGCCACAACTAAACTTAAATTCTTGCCAAAGATTGAATGCGCTTGGCTTGGCGCTAATACGCTTCATATTGATTACAATTATTGAAAACGAATACCGAAGTACCTATCTAGTGCATAAATCAATTCATTAATCAGTCTATATTTCATCTATAGACTTTCCCATCTGTCGATTCATCTATCAGTCCATATGCAACGATGTAGTGTGTTTCTCAACTCATCCATCATCTTGTTATCCATCTATCTACTATCTATCAATATTACTCTAAATATGATTTTCAGATCGGTAAGAAGTATATACACATCGAATCTCTAGAATTACTTTGAGCTCCTTCAGGCTTTCTCGGATTTGCACCTCCTGACTGCAGTTCTCTTCGCGGTTCACATTGGGCCCGGCTTATATCGAAAACTTTTCGCATCCTGACACTTGCTGCAAAAGTTGCTGTTGATGCTGTTGTTAATGCCGCTGCAACGTGCTGCGGCTCAGTGTTAACAGGCTTTTGCTGCATAAATATTGCACTGGCTCGGGGGGAGGGGGATCGTGGATGGCGAGGCGGTCGAGAGGCCGACTGGGTGGCTGTTTGTTGGATCTGTGATGCATGCAAGAGATGCGCTGGGGTATTAACTGATGCAATGTTGAAAAAAACTTTAATTGAATCGACGTAAATAAAAATAAATACATCAAAATAAAATCCGGCTGAAGCCCCGGAGCGCAAATTGCGAACTGCACACTGAAAATTGCCAATTTGCTGTCAAACGGCAAAATTGTAAAAACTGTAAAACTGTTTATTTTCATTAAGGCTTAATTAAAACGGGTAAATCAGCTTGCCCAGAAGCCGAAAAGACTATGGCTTATTAACATTTACAAACACAACAAAACAAAACTCGTTTTTTTTTTTTTTTAAATCACTTATAAATTCTGTCAACATCTACTTTGTTGATACAAAAGTATATATGCATATATTTTTATATATCTATGTATATATAGATCCAGCAACTGAAAGCACCAATTGTGTTGAGCGAGCAGCTTTATATACCCTAGCCAAACCTACTATGATTAAGCAGTATTTTATATCACTTAGAATTAATAGGAAACTGAGCCGAATTACTGAATCGATTTTTTTTCATTTGGGTGTTCACATGTTTATGAATAACAAAATACTACAAAAGATAAGCATATAATATAATACTAAAA